TGTCAAGTCCGTGCCAATGACTTCTGCCGTTGGATACAGGTCGGCTGGTGAGTATTGTTAGAACTTGGGAGCGTGGAAAGGAACGGGAGGTCTTGATTCACCAAAATCGACAGCCCAATTGCCTGTCCCAGTACCAAGATCAAGGACTCGCTGGGGTTCTGAACCAATTGGAGCATAATGAAGGTGGCTGTCCAGCAGCCAAAGCATCAACGCGTGATGAAGATCTAGCCGCTTCATTTCTTGTTCGTCGCTGGGCAACATGTCTCGAAGGATGTTATTACCATTGAAATCAAGAAGGGAAAACAGTGGGGGTGAGACGAACTGCCCTGGTGATCTCGAAAGGCATGATAGATGCGGCCATACTGCATCATGAAGGTGTTGACGGACGAGGTAAGCGAGGCTGTGTAGGCAGATCTGACTTGGTCAGTAGAGCATTCGCGTATCGATGCAACGAAAGGTCCAGGTACAGCTCATCTCCATATGCTGAATCTCGCTCAGTTGCCTGCCCTATGAATTAGTCCCGCGTCGTTCGAAAATCGCGCTCAAAACGTGGACTGACCTCTTCGTCCACAAGTATCGTGACATCTCCAGAAATAGCAGCGTCCACGACAGCAGAACTGCCCGCCTCGTGCAGATCAAGGCCTGCGGTTGCCATAATGTCTGCGATCCGGGAAAGGCTGTCGAGCGGTCGGCGAAGGACGATCCATGTGCATTATACACATAAAGACGACTCAAAAGGTGCCAGTAAGGTTCGGGTTCCAAGCCTCGAGAGGGCTTTCGAGTCGGGAGTTTGTGGAGTGCTGGGTACAAATCATGCTTTGGCACAAGCCGACAGCAACTGTCACTGCAGACGGAATCCAGGGTCCACCTGCCACGTTTTACTGGCTCCATCAGGCAGACCAACCGGGGGAGCCTAGAGGGTCCTTTCCGAGTGGCGGCCACGCTGTTTTTTTAGAGCCAAGCTAGGCGACACACCTATCGTTGGACAGCGCCCATCCTAGTCCACCTGCTCATCATGTCGGGGACACCGGGAGCCAACGGGGTTGTCTGCAAGAGCTGCATAGCGCAGTCCAGCCGTGGTGGACCGCCTTGTGCCGTTCCCAGCTGCTCAGTGGTTTTTGATTGGGAAACCCTGGCCGATAGTGTTGCGTCCCATGTCATCAACGGCGAACAGCGAAGCAGAGGATGCAATCGAGGATCGAGGCGACTTGTTGGAGGGAATTGCAAAGACAGACAGAGCCCACCGGCATGTGCTGATTGCATTCCCTTCGCGGTACTTGCAGATATCCCCCACGTCGCCTCAAGCTAATACCTACCTAGGTATCCTGTCCAGCTGTATAATACCTATACCTATTCCCCCCTCCAACGGCCCGATCCTTCACCCGAGGAGACTCACATATGAGAAAAGAAGGAGAGGCAGAAGCGGAAAGTGTCCAGAGCTTCCTGGACTCGCCGTCGTCATGTACAAAACATCAGCCTTGATTGGCCTGTTCGCCATCCCTGTGGCTTGGGTGCTGTACTTTTTCTTCTGGTCTGCTACTAGCAAATTCCCATCGGCGCCCGGACCGCTGCTCGCTCGCTTCACTCGCCTGTGGTACCTGAAGGCTCTCATCAGAGGAGATTTCGAACAGGTGAACATCGCTTTGCACAGAAAACATGGTGAGCGGCGACACACTGCTCTGACCCAATTCCTCTTATGCAAATTGTTCCAGGCAAAATCGTCCGTGTCGAGCCTGGCGCATACAGCATCGACGACCCCGAGGCGATCAAGACCATCTACACCATTTCAAACCCGTGGAGCAAGTCGGCGTGGTATGGCGCGTCTTGTCCACCGGGTACCACGACAAACTTCAGCACCCCAGACAACAAGGATGCTGCTCGATTTCGTCGTAACTTTGCACAAGCCTTTTCCATGTCGTCGGTGCTGGCCTACGAGCCTTTGATCGATGAATGCGGCGAGCTTTTGATCGAGAAGCTCAAGACCTTTGCAAAGTCAGGTGAGACTGTAGACCTGACACATTGGTTTACTTGTTGGGCGTTTGACTGTCAGGGTCATATAACGGTGTGCTCCTTCAATACCTCCGTTTGACCAATTTACCGACTGACGATTCCCAGTTTTCTGAACGGTTTGGATTCCTTGACAAGGGCGAGGACGTCGGAGGGATCATTGAGAGCCTCCGTCACCGAATGTCATACGGCACTTTTGCGGGCGTGTATGCGGAACTGCATCCGATATTGTTCAAGATAGTCAACTGGCTCGCCGGGACAGACACAGCTCAAGTAGACTATACCATATCCTATACCCTGAAGCGAATCGCAGAAAGGAGACAAGAGGGAAAGTCGCACAAGAACGATATGCTTGCTCAGTTCCTGGCCGGCCAGCAGAGAGATCCAACCACCTTCACAGACTGGGATGTTCTGATCGGAGCTTTTGGGAACATCGTGGCAGGTGCTGATACCACCCACATCACCCTCTCTGCTATCCTTTACTACCTGATGAAGAATCGGCGGTGTCTCGACAAGATGCGCGCGGAGATCGACGAGATGGCCAAAGCAGGGTCAATTTCGGACCCGATCTCTTTCCACGAGTCACAGCAAATGCCCTATTGCCAGGCGGTGATAAAGGAGGCACAGAGGCTGTACCCCGGTACTGGGTAAGATCAGACGTCCAATGTTCCTTGCGCTTCACTCACCGTGTTCCCTAGGTTGCCACTATTTCGCGTAGTCCCAGCAGGTGGCGCAATGATTGCCGGTAAATACTTCCCCGAGGGAGCTGTTGTTGGCATCAACAACTGGGTCGCCCACCACAACAAGGACGTCTTCGGACCAGATCCAGATGTATTCCGCCCAGAGCGATGGCTGGAGGGAGACACCACCGCCATGAATCGCTACTATTTACCTGTAAGTTTGGCCGGCCTTCGAACGAACGAGAAGAGGTGCTGACAGACACGGTATAGTTTGGCGTCGGTCCCCGATCTTGTCAAGGTCTGAATGTCGCGTTGATGGAGATGTCGAAATTCGTCCCGCAGCTCGTCCGCCGCCTCGATTTCGAGCTGCTCAGCGAGTGGAAGACGTCTAATCGATGGTTAATGTTCCAGTCCAACCTGAATGTCAAGGTGAAACTGAGAGATTAGTTCTTCGGTCGTCTGCAAAAATGTGAGAAGAATAAGTACGAAGCGTGGGACTGGGTGATGTATGGCAGATTTCCACTCCGAAAAGCAAGGGACATCAAGTATAGGTACATGTACACTCGTCAAGGACAGTGCACCACAAACAGCCATGGTCAAACTCCAGATATCTCACATGTAACAGAGACTCTGTGCGCTCTGGCCACGTCCTCAACCGGGTCACAAAACGAAATGTCGGCCTCCAATCGTCTGCCCTTTCCGGTGTTTCTTGGAGAAAGCCCTGAGAACTGTGGAATCATCAGTAAATGCTCCCGAGGGGCATCGATACCGTTAGACTCACCACTCACCTCTTTAGTCCAGTAAAACTCCTCCCACCTTGAATCTGCTTCGCTGGGCAGGGTTCGATCTATGCCATCCTCCTCGAGCACTGTTTCGATCCCATACCGCTGCCCCTTCACTTCAATTCCGTGGCGGAATGCTTCTCTGATCATGGCTTCCCACCACTATAATTCAGTTTCTTGATCCCTGGGGAATCGCGATCGTTGTTGTACAAAACACCCAGGACGAGCGCAATAATTTTGACAGCCGAATCAGGGCACAGTAATCCATTCTTCTCCAATGAGTTCAGCGTCGTCAAAACGGCACCTCCAATGAGCTTCAGAGTGTGCAACACCGTGTCCGGATCGTCGACGTTGAACCACTCATACGTGTCATTCAGAATTCAGGCGAATCCTTCAATGATTGACCATAAAGCCGCAGGTGATGTGTCTCCTTGACGCGCACGTCCGGGACAGAGAATTCGCGGTTGAAAGACACCAACTAGTGCACGTCTGGCTTACCGGGAGCGCCAAAAGCCTTAGGTTCAACCCAAACTTGCCTGGTTCTCCATCACCTCTTGCAAGCCATACCCATTGAAATCATTGTAGAAGTGTTCTCCAGCAGCATTGCAGGCGAGCTACCAATAGATAGCCTTTTGTCGTAAGCATCCACTTATGCCCTGGAAGCTCGGGGGCTGGCCGCTTGCAAACGCAACCTTTCAAACCACAGATTGACTCGCGCTGATCATTCTGGCTTTCTAGCCCGTTGTCTTGTTGGCTGTCATGTTCATCTTCCTCATCGGATTTCTTAGACGCATCACGAGTTGCCCCTTTCTCCGCCCGAGTGTCATCTGCGGAGTGTCAGGTATTCGACCTCAGGCGCATCATTTTGTGCGGGGGCACGATCCCATCTGAGTCAGTGTCCAATGGATTGATACTTCACAAAAGTCCGGGGCATATCTCTCCGGTTGCCGAAGCAGATGGAGCCGTGTGTAGCCTATCTAGAATCCTCAAGGCGTCGGACGAGCACGTCCTTGTTACCGCTGTATGGTAAATTGCGTCACTGGAGCAAGGTGGAAAGGTCTTGCTTCTTTATACCCGTAGAGTGGCTGGCTTCATTTTCTTTCCCTGCCGCTGATTGCTGCGACTGTCGTTTGGAAGGTGGCTGTGATTGCGCCGTATTGCTGTCAATTTGGCTCAATGCGCGTTTGTTGCTCGCCAATTTTCGGCTGCTTGTAACGGGATTGTGTTCAATGATGCAACAAGATGATCAGAGAAGGATATGTTCTTTAGCTCCTTCTATGTCTTGTGGGAAGTCATAGTCGGATGTGTCTCGCTTCGTTGTCGATATAGTGAGATCGATTGCTGAACGCGACGCGAAAGTCCACGCGTTCTCACGTGTTCATCTAGTTGTACCGAGTATGTGGTTCCTCTGCGCTCTTTCTTCCATAGCGCAGCACACTGACTCTCATATCCGTTCTATCTTGCGATAGCACGTTACGCTGCTGAGCGACATGATTCCCACGGAGGCTTCGGTTGTGACTGGGGCGCGGTAATGGCACAGAAACACCACTTCAATGTTGAGCCCGTGGCTCGTTTCACGGGCCTCAATGCAGCAATTCGCAGGCCTCGAGTACGTGTGCCCCAACACATTTTTGAAAAACCTTCCCTCTGATAAGCTCAGGAAATCGCATACTTTTCCTTCGACGAGGATCACAAGTTTCGACTCGATGACTCGAGCCTGCGCTATTACTACCCGCCCGCACTTCCTTGCGACCTCAGCAAAGGTTTTGAGACATTCCACCAACTCGACGACTCTGACGATGACCATCTGGATGGACTCTTGGATGCGATCATGGCGTATGAGAAAGAGAAAGGCTCCAAAGCGGAGATCGACTTCATGACATGGCGGGGAATGATGACCAAGGTGTGAACAATTCGACGTGAACTACGAAGCAACTCGCTCATGGCCTAGGCAGTTGATGATAGTTCCCTTTTCCAAACTGGACGACTGGGAAATGAATGCCACCTTTTTCCAAGGCACTATCTTCATCGAGGAGAACCACACTAAGAAGATATCTTCCCGTGAGGAACAGTATTCATCTGCGGGGCGACCAGGCGCTATGTCGCAGGACCTGATGAGTTTCTGGGGATACAAATTCGAGACTGTGTCCTTGATGCCGACGCCATGGCCCGAGACCTCTCGAGAGTACATTGAATCCCGGGAAGATCTCCTGGTTAGCAACCACGCTCAATATTGCTCCATCGTCCGCACCGGCTTCGGCAAAGTCAAGATGATTCTTGGTGGAGAAGTGGACGCTGTCATGGCCTTCAAGCCAGAAGACAAATCTGTGCCCATCGACTGGGTGGAGCTCAAGACGACGGCCATGATCACTAATGAGAGAGAACAAATCAAATATGAGAGGAAACTTCTCAAATTTTGGGCACAATCCTTCCTGCTAGGAGTACCCAGGATTATTGTTGGCTATCGCTCTCAGCAGGGTACATTGGAACGTCTTGAAGAGTTGAATGTGCAGAACATCCCCGACAACGTCAAGCTGAAAGGCAAAGGTTTGTGGGATGGACAAATCTGCATCAACTTTGCCGCAAGTTTTCTTGAGTGTGAGCACAACTTCAGATATGCTACAACACTGCTGACTTTGACACAGGGCTGAAAGCTACGGTCACTTCTGATGGCGTCTGGCGGATCAGAAAGCGAGAAAAGTCTCCTGTGCTGGAGGTCTTCAAGCTGGAAGAATCAGGGCACGGCGACATCTTGTCGTCCACTTTTATCGAGTGGCGTACCCACGGCCTGCCACAGCATCAGGAACTTTTGCAGAAGCTCAGAGCTAACGCAACAGCAGAGGCATCCGAACCTCCTTGAATAGCATGACTGTGGTGTGCTTTGTGCATCGATCGCACTGCTCCGGCATAGGTCACTTGAATTGACCGAAGCATCAGCCTGGTGAAGTCGGTATCTGGACCTCTTGGTTTCCATCTCCTTCCTTCGGCGGTATGGACTCCCGGTTACGGCGCCACGCGACGATTTTCTTGTGGCTGCGACTAGCAAGATGTACTCGCCATTCTTTCTCCGTCATAAGTGTCTTTTGGCATACCTGGCAGGTCCTAGCTTCGCGCACATCATCGAAATCGTCCTCCTCGATCTGTGAGAGTACTCTCTCCGCCATGGAGCAGACAGCCTTCGCCTCCGGCAGCTCATCTCCTTTGAGGAATGCGCCCACAAGTGCTTGTGCAGGCGCTGCCACTGTGGTGTCCCAGCTGGCCAGATCGGTACAGTCAAGAAGGAATAGCCGATCGAGCTTTCGAGAAGATTTCAAGGCTTTTGCCAGCCGAATTCTAACAAACCGGTTCTGACGCTTCGCATAGCGTCTGGTGCTCGCTTTAATGGCGTCTATGCCCTCGCGCTCTGCTTGCATCGCTTTTGCACGATCGGCATCCCGTCCTTGGTACACCTCAAGCCAGGGTTTCATTTCTTTATAACCAATCGATTGCCAGATACCACCAGCGAGGTCAACCGGCCCTACCTCCTGTTTCAATTCCTCTTCCAAGTCTGCCATCTGCAACACCTCGTTGCAAAGCCCACTTAGCACCATGGCATCAACCCGGTCATTCAGCCTCTGCTTCAGAACGGCATCGTCGGCTTCCAACCATAAGAGCAGGCTGGGATAGCGCAGGTTCATTTGACGCTCACCCAGGGCGTCACTGTCAGCGTCTCGTGCAGCTTGACGCTGTTCAGCGTAAATGTCAGAGGCTTTCTTGCCACTCTGGAGATATATCTGCAGAGACCGCCGGATCTTGTTCCGGTCGTTTGGATGCCATCTCTTCGCCATCTCAGGATCCACCTCCTGGAGCTTTGCGAGAATCTCCTCTGTAGACGCTGACAAGATGGGAAACTCTTCGTTGCTGTCCGTTGCATCGGGCTCTGGCTGGTGCTTGTCCTGTTGGGGAGTAAGGAGAGCATCCTCAAAAAGCAAGGAAAATGTGTAGTAAATCGTCCCGCCCACTACGATAGGAAGCCGGCCTCTGGCTCGTATCTCATCGATTATGCGCGAGCTCTCCTTGACAAACTGCTGAACCGTCCAGAGTTTCTCCTTGAGGCCGATGAAGTCGAGCAGGTGATGGGGAATCTCATTCCGTTCAGCCTCTGGGATTTTGTTGGTGATGATCGGAAGTCCCTTGTACATTTGCATCGCGTCACAGTTGATGACCTCGCCATTGAATCGGGTGGCTAATTCCACAGCCAACTATCTCCAGAGCCATTAGATCCCGTTCCTTTCACATGCTGTTCTTTGGTCCAACTCAAGAAAACTCACCTTTGACTTGCCAGTGCCGGTTGCACCGATGATCATGATCAACGGTGCTTTTGGTGGAGAGGATGCCATCTTCAAGCTACGCCTGAGCATAACAGACATAGGACAAGTCCGGTTGGGACCGCCGTGTAATATGATGTCAGGGGAGAAACAATGTCAAGTCTCTCCTATCCATATCCACGACAGCCAGTGGAAAGTAGACTCGCAATGCCCAAAGCCGCCCGCAAGGTCAGTACATCAAAGGAACGTGATAGGTTGTATTAGGAGGGGCAGAGCTAAAGTGTCAAAGAGAAACGTCTGATGAACTGAACGGATGATACTCGATTTTACAACATCAGTTCTATTCTTTGATCTCGAATGGTGCTAAAATCTATCTCATCACTTGTGGAGACGGAAAAGTGCGCCATGGCGCTTAATGCTCCACTCAGCCACTAGGGCGGGCCATAATCTCCACAAGCGAAAAACTAAATTTCGCCTGCAACTACAATTGCGTCGTCGTTGGCGCATTTCAAACTCGACTCTCGACACCACATAAAAAAAGTTTTGGCAGCGCTCATCTTGAAATTCTCGCGTCCTGAAAACACCTGGGTAATCAGAGCGAGGACATCAATCATGGCTGAAGTCGTCCAGGCCCGCACGAGTCTCACTTCTCCCTCTCCCTCTCGAAAACGTTCAGCATCTCCAGCCGACGCGGAGCTCGCCACCGACTCGACAAGCAACGCACTCACAAAGACGAATAATGAATCGTCCCTAGCATCCACCGAGGAGCCTCCAGCCAAGAAGACAAAACTAATTCGTCGCAAGCGCCGGCCCGCGCGTCCCCAGGTCGACCCCTCGACGATAAAATCCGAACCTCCTCCGCAGACCGGGACGGTATTTAATATCTGGTACAACAAGTGGTCCGGTGGTGATCGGGAAGACGCGTACTTGTCTAACCATGCCGCTCCCTCGCGGTGTAATATCCGCAACGACTCCGGGTGGACGGCCGCGGACAGGACGCCGGGGAGCTATTTCTGCCTGTTCTTCGCCAGAGGACTGTGTCCCAAAGGCCACGAATGCCAGTACCTGCATCGCCTACCCACTATATACGATGTCTTCAATCCGAACGTTGACTGCTTCGGGCGGGACAAACACAGCGACTATCGGGACGACATGGGTGGCGTGGGCAGTTTCATGAGACAGAATCGCACACTCTACGTTGGGCGGATACACGTGTCGGACGACATTGAGGAAGTGGTGGCGCGACATTTTCAGGAGTGGGGAGAGATCGAACGTATCCGTGTCCTAACAGGTCGTGGCGTCGCTTTCGTCACGTACGTCAACGAGGCGAACAGCCAGTTCGCAAAAGAGGCAATGGCACACCAAGCACTGGACCACAATGAGATATTGAACGTGCGCTGGGCCACCGTGGATCCGAACCCACTCAGTCAGAAGAGAGAAGCGGCCAGGATTGAAGAGCAAGCTGCGGAGGCTGTCCGCCGGGCGCTGGGTGAGAGAACCGTCAGGGAAATCGAAGGACGTGAGACCAGAGAGGAGAGGGACCAGAGGCGCATCGAGAGCAGCTACGGTCTGGAAGGGTACGAGGCACCGGAGGAGATCTGGTTCACGCAGCAGCAGCAGCAGCAAAAGGAGCTGGAGGGGCAGAAGTTGGGCGAGAGAGGGCTGCTCGAGGCTCCTCCTGCTCCGAACCACGGCGCCGAACACGAAGCATCGACACACGAAAGAACCGAAGCTCCGAAAGATTCTCCCTCACAAGCAGGCCAGCAGAGCAGCAACGATCAAGCCACCGTGAATAATGGCATCTTGTCCGGCTCAACCCTGGCCGCCCTCAAGGGATATACCTCCAATGCAGGGCGCGGAGAGGTATCAAAGCCTGCCCCATCAGCCGGACCTCTCGTCGCGTACGGCAGCGATGACGATGAAGAATGAAACACTCGCATTTTATAGGAATCGCTACCACCAATGGTCCAAAAGTAATAAAAGAGGCCACTCTTTGATGATGTGTCGTGTGTACAATTCAATTGCCATTTTTTGGCTCTTCTATTTGAAGCCTCGCTATCTAATCTTCCGCAGTCACAGTTTTTGGAATGGTCCCGTGCCGTCCATCCTGAAACCAAAACCCTAGCTTTTCTTGGTTCCTGGGTCCTTGGTTCTTGGTTGACCTGACCTGACTTCGCATGACTTGACATGACATGTCAAGACGCGACCAACGTCCTATATCCTCGTATGTACTCGGAGGTACTCATAGCTCCTTGGAACAACTCTCTTTGCGAGAGAGGAAGGCCATCACAGTTCACCGTGCTGGACTCCACTGCTACCACTGCCACCACTAAGATCGGGCATCCTCATGATCACGACGACCAGACTCGTCCAGCCGGTGAAATGCTGGGTGCGCTGTCCCTCGCCCGTCTCCGGGTTATACTGCTCCCAGGCGAAGCCGGTGCGGGCCCACTCGCTGAAGACGGTCTCGACCAGGTTCTTGCGCAGGTCTGTGTAGATCCTCTGGGCCTGGGCTTTCACCTTTGCGGGCGGTGCCGGGTCGGCGGACTGGACCACGTTGAGGAGGGACCGAAGGATGAGGTAGTTCATGTTCACCCAGACGGGGGAGCGCCAGTAGTTTTCGTCGGTGCCGTAGAAGGTGTCGGATTTGGAGAGCGACCGGATCCCGTGGGGGGACCAGAGTTCGGATGGTGAAGAGATCAGATCGAGCACGTCTGGGAGGTGAGGGTGGTTGGCTGGCAGGAGGCCCGTCATGAACGGGAACAGGGAAATGTAGCCTTTGTGGCAAACGTGGACCGAGTCTTCGTAATCGTCGATGGTGGCGTCGCAGTAGCATTTCTGTTCAGACGACCAGTGAAGGTCGTCGATGTTTCGAACAATGGCTTTGTGTTGCGATTTGAAGTCGGGTATGTCGTCGGCTTCGGAGAGCAAAGTAGAAAGGCGCACCAGGATACGCGACATCATGCCGACCCATGAGATCAGGTCGACATGGAGCTCGCCCGGATGAGGTGGTTGAGGGCGTGGATAGTCGTCAAGTCCTGAAGGAAGGATATGTTGCGGTGTTCGTCCGCGCCACCTGTATGCTTCTTTTGTGGAGAAGGCTTCACGGTCATAGGATTTGATGTCTCCAAACTGGGTGCGGCGAAACCAATAGTACTGACGCTTGAGCAAGGGGTATAGGTTTCGGAGCTCACTTTCAATGTGCTCCTTGGACGCAGCATACGCAGGACTCGACATTTTGTCCATCAAAATGTCTACGATGAGGAAGAGTGTGGGTGGGTTGGCATAGTGTGGGTATTGGACCTGGAACTCAGGAGGCACCTTGCTGCGTGCTTCCGGCCCAAGAATCTGCTCTCGAGCAATCCAACCGTCCTGATCGATGAGGTTGAACCATGACTTTACGATGTCGATCGTCACGTCAAGATCCCAATCCGCGATCGGGATGAGGTGGAAACCCTCGTCCCACAAGAACCCACGTGGAAAGAAAGGTCTCGAGGGAACGCTGGTGAAGAGCTCCGCGGGAGGATCATTCACAATCTGTGCTCGTGCTCGTGCAGCCGCAGTCTCCTCCCAGAATCCTTCATTATCCTCGTCGTATTCTGGAGCATAAGACCTGTCGACCAATGAATCACCATAGAAGTATCCAATCCCGCCAAACAGATTGGAGAACATGGACGCGGAGAAATCGGTGTAGGCGGGCTTGGTAAACGGCGCCAAAGGTTTGAAAACCTCTTTGAACTTCTTGGTGAACTCTTTGGAGGCACTTGCGATGGATTTCGTGAGAGATTCTGAGGATACTGCTGGGCCAGACCCAGATTTGAACCGGATATCAGTTTCAAACGCGCCGACAAAGATCTTCTGAACCATGTGGAAATTCCCTGGTCCAGGGTTGTGAGGGATGGAAAACGCCTGCCAGGGAGGTGGCATATTCTCTTGTCCATACTGCTGGAGGAGGGTGTCAATCTCTGACTTCATGCTCGCGAAGGCAATGTTTTTCGCTTGCCAGATGGCCTCCGGGGGGATTTGGTGGCTGCAAAGCAGTGGCCGGTCCACGGGTTTGGAGTCCCAGGATGGGTGGATTTTGTATGGCAGGAGATTCTCGGGTGAATCCTCAAAGGAAATGTCGAACTGCCCAAGCTCACTTGTATCACCATGCAAGGTCACCACGCCATCTTCCTCCTCTGTGCTCGTGAATGCCAGTTCACCTAGACCTTCCATGCCGGCATAGAAGATCAAGGTTGTGACCAGAGTGGGCGGCGCATCTTCTCTTGGATTGCCCTTTATTCTCACGGCCCAGTTGCCGCCGTGTTCCCCGCCAGCGATCTTGACAAAATCAATCGTCAAGTCAATCTTGTTCCCCGTGTCATGTACAACTTGTCTTCCACCGTTTCGAACATCATACTCTTCCCAACCATAGCCGGCCATCCCCTCATGCTGCTCGCACGTGTGCCGGAAGTTGAGCTGTGCAGAGCCATAGTTGTCGGTGTTGGCCCATAATAGGCCGGTCAACAGGCTATTAGGGACTCGCGGTCGGACTCCAAAGTAGAGATTCGGTCGGTAAGGACCCCAAAGGAGGGTGTCGTTCGAGGCATGCGCAACCCAGGAACAGAGCGAGAAGAGAGTGAAAATGAAAAGGCGCAGATGTCCAAAAGTCACAGACCCGCTCGCATAGCTCAACATCCTGCCTTGTGGCTATCTTTCGAATGCCTCACCTCAACTCGCCATTGGTGTTGGTTTTGGAGAACATTGCCTGTGGGGGGACAAGTGGCCTTGTAATGCTCGTGGTTATCGATAGCAACACAGCTGCGGCTGGACAATTGGTACGTAACCGTACAACTACGGCACATCACAATACCACTACCTAGACAACTTGTGGTCATGGGGAGAAGACACTGGACATTGTGCGGGACACATCTCTCACTCATCACGCATAGCACAGTCATTAGTTGTGAATCTGGGGTATCTTGATTGTTCAAAGCAAAGGTAAAGAAAGAAAACTCGTCTCCATCCTATCTATTCTTCGCCATCTTCAGGCGCAAGAATCCTGCCAACTCCCCAGCTTTGACCTCGTCCTCTGAGCGAGAGGGACCCCGGACCTTCAAGGTCCTCTCCCCAAGGGCCCCTCCCCTCACAATCACCAGCCAGTGTCCTCCGGCATTCTGGCTGCCGTAAGCCATCTCCAGCTCCTCCAAGGAGTGGAACTCCCCAGAGAGCTCTGCACTGAGCCCAGCGGCCCACAGCGACGACAAGACCTCCACGCACGATGTCTTCAACGCATTGGCGTCGAAGCTGGTGACCAGGATATCACATCTCCTGGCCACTGGCTTCGACTCTGCAGCCCCGGTCGCCGTCATCTTAGACGACTTGCCGGCCTGGGAGATCTGGCCACGGACGTAACCGATCAGGTCCAGTATGTTGAGGCGGAACCCCGCCGCGCGGGTATTGCCTTTGTCAGACTTGGTCTGATATTCTTGGACCAGGGCGTCGTACCGCCCGCCAACCGCCAGGACACGTCGAGAAGCGCTGTCTGCGCACTGGAAGAGCAGCGACCGCCGGTAGAGATACTCAGAATTGTTGCTGAGTGGCGCGATGAGGATCTGTGTCTGGACATTCATGCGCTGGAGGTACTTTGTGACCTCATCGAGGCGGCCAAGTAGGGGCAACGCCTTGCTGAAATGATCCGAGTCACCAAACAGCTTGGACAACTTGGCGCGCACCTTCTCCAAGTCGCCGTCAAAGTTGAACCGCTTCAGATCCGTCACCGACGTCTCTGGAATGTTGATGGCGGGGCTGCGTAACTCTTCACGTATTTGTGTCCACCCGTGTCCCTGGGTGTTGAGATGTGAGAGAGCCCGTTTGACGTCGGCAGCTTCAACTGGTTTGATCCGGCAGAAGTCGAGGATTAGGTCGAGCAAGTCGGCATGGTTAATGTAGATTGTCCAGCAGCGTGCGGCTAGAGCAGGGAATTCGGTGAGGATTTCATCAAGAACTTTCATAACCTCTGCTTCCTTCAAGGGCAAGTCCTTTGCACTGTTCGATATGAAGTCAAAGTCAACTTCAGGAAATTGTCTCGGCTGTGAACCTGGTGCTGCAGCGCGGTACACGGTTCCAAAGCAGTAGGTCTTGCTGTAGGTTGGTGAAGTCTGTCCAAGTGTGCGAGCAAAAGGGAGAGTAAGATCGTATGGTAGCTGGACAACCAAACCTGAAGAATCGAGAAAGGTTGCTGCATGTGGGTAGAACTCGGCTTTTGGGAAAATACTTTGTCGTCCGACTTCAACTGCCCCATGTCGGCGAAAGATGGATTTTAGCTGATCGCAAGCAGATATCCAAAGCATCGAGTCGACAGACGCTGTGCCAGTTGTTGACTTGTCTTCCCAGGCAAGACTTGCAACAGGGCTGTTCGGGTTTGCGAATAGCTTCGTAATCAGCGCTTGGTATTCACCAGGATTTTCTGCTGCCATTCTATCAATGTAGCGTTGGAATTTCTCATCCTCGAGAGGCTCAGGGATTACGCCACTGTTGAGGAGCATAGAAGCGGTTGGTCTGCGAGTTTGATCGTGATCGATTAGCCGCGCAATTATGTCACCTTGTTTCTGATGGCTTTCTTCCTTGAAGAGCTGGGGTAACTGTGGTGGGTTTTCTTTGAGTCTCGCTTCCAAGTAGATGCTTCTTTCGGTCTTCGTGCTGAAGGAGAAACACATCTCGAAGAACGTAACTCCAAGGGAGTACATATCCGCGCGCGAATCGTAGCTGCTTCCAGTTCGTTCAAGCTCGGGAGGCATATACCCTGCAGTGCCAATATGGTACGAAACCGTGACCATAGCTGGTCTCGAAAGCGAAAGGTCTGGCTTAGAAGTTGCTTGTCCGTAGCCTGCAAGTCCGAAATCACCAATTTTGGGAGTGTCGTGGGAGTCGAGGAAGATGTTGTCAGGTTTGAGATCTCTGTGTACAACGCCATGACTGTGAATGTAGGCGAGTCCTTCAAGTATGCGCCGAAACAACCGCCAGCCAGCATCGACGTCTTTTGGCAGACCTCCGTTGATGCGATCACGCAATGTTCGCCCGTCGCATAACTCCATTTGGATGTACAATACGGATGGTTCGTTGTTTGGAGGCGGGCGTGTCCGGACATGACTTACAGCCACCTGTGGAGAGTCCTCGCTCTGGAATGGATTTGCATTTTCTCCGGATCCTGGCTCTGGGGCATTTGACCGCTCGAAAGGATCACTAGTCCCCTGGTCTTGCTCTCTCTCTGGCTCTGGATCGCTTTGGAATGGGTCGTCATCAAAACCGTCATCTGCATCAATAGAAGGTGGGTCTTGATAAGCAAACAGGTTACCATCATCGGAGTCGCTGAATTCTGCACCCTGGTTGCGATAGATTGATGGTTCCATGAAATCGTGACCAAGACTTAAAGGGGCGGTCTGGGGGATCGATCTCGTAGGTACCGCTCGATGATGTGGCTCTTCAACTTCTTCGTGTGCGGTTTCATACCAGGCATTGTAGTACCTGACAATATTCGGGTGGTTGAGTTTCGCAAGAAGGGCAACTTCCCGTAGAATGTTTTCGAGTTCCTTTATCGACTGACTCTTGATCTCCTTGACCGCGTAAAACTGACCGTCTAGTTTGTTCCTGGCACGGACGACTTTGCCGTAGCCACCCTGCCCAAGCACAGCAGATTCCTCCCATTCGTTTCGATACCTGGAATTTCCAAGTCTGTCACTGTACCGTCTTATACGTCCTGGAGTAGCAGGCACAGTCAGGGATTGCGTTCGGAAGAGGTTGTCATTTTCGTCGAAGAAGATTTTCTTGCTCGAGAGTTGAAAGGCTGAAGGTCGCCGGTTGGGATTGGATCGAAACATCTCTTGCAGTAGTCCTTGAGCACTAGATTCGAAATCGACATCTTCGAGCACATCTGCCGGGGATGTATATTTGGATTTGACTCCTTTGCCCAAAGCCATCTGCATCACGATCACGCCGAGATCCCAAATGCAGGTCTTGTTCGTGCGTGCTGGCGACTCGTTGTTTAGCTCGGGAGCGATCCAGAGAGGCAGCTCATCCGTCTTCGTATGAGACTTGTCTCTTACTGCATCAACAAGTTCTCGAAGTTTTGTCCCATAGCCGTCTGACAGCTTGACTGTAACCCCTCTCTTGGGCGATATGAAAAGCATGACATTACCAGCATGCACCGCGGGATGGACATAGCCATGTTTGTCGAAGAATACGAGGGCATCAACAAGCTCCCGAGTCCAAGTCCGGACTTTGGTCGGGCTGAGCGGTCCAGAAAGCTCAAGAAGATCATCAAGAGATCCTTTGTCGGCAAATTCGGAGAGGATAGCAAGGTTCCACTGGCCTGTGCCGTCCTCAAGGGCGATATGCTCAATCTTGTAATTGATCAAGTCAACGACATTTTCGTGATGATGTTCCTTTGAGAATTCCAGGTCTTCTTCAACTATCTCCATGCATTTCTGCATCTGAGCTCTTGTATTTGCCGTCTCGGGAATGTAGATGTCCTTGAGCAAGAGCTGTGGAGCTTGTACAAGCTCGCTGTCCACTCGGGGGGAGACGATGGTGATTTTCTTGTCTTTCCGTCTGAGGATGACAGCTCTGCCTGAGACAGCCTTGAACTTGAATGGGGCATTTGTGACTGTGTCTTTGCAGGTCATGGACTGATCAAACCGGGTTTGTTCTTCGGGTGAATCGTAGAGCACGGCACCATCTTCCCCAGTCGCTGTGCGAGAGAGGTTGGACTTCTGGCGACGTTGTTTCTCGCTCTCGACTTGAGAATACAGCAGCTTTTCTTTCTCCTCGGCTTCTTCCGCCTGTTGTCTCCGTGCACTCTCTTCTTTCTCTTGGAGATTTTTCTTAGCCAAAGCTTCTTGGGCGGCACGTTCTTCTTCAAGGCTGAACGCGGTTTTCTTGGCAGCCTTGTCCGAGACAAACTGATCAAGGAAGTCCATTATGGCAGTGTTGACCACGTAGACGATCTCGCTTCCTTGGTTCTGTTTCTGGTTGGTGGCAATAATGTCCTCGATTTGCTTTCTGAGGTTGGGGTCTTTTGGCTCAACCTCGACAATATTGATCTTTGGAAGCACCTTTGGATAGTCGCGTGGAAACTCGAAGATGAGTTTGACAAAGTAGTCACGACTTTCGAGTGGGGAGACTCGAACTTGAAAGGCTAAATTCTCCTGAGTCTGTGTGTGTGTCAGATTTCATTCATGATGAGGGTGCGGTTCGGTCCCTTTACCTTCCACGCATCCTTCCTGCCACGAATACGCTGGAACTCGTCAGGATAGATTGCTCTTGTGGTGAGGAACTCGTTACGCTGGACTTCCGGGTAGCCGGCGAGTTCTTCTTCGAAGTTGCGTTGAGACTGTTCCAACGGAGGTGGTGTTGTGGACGTTGGTGGTTGAGGCACAGGAACCTGCGCCTGTTGATTCTTTCCTTTCTTTTTCGTCGGCATGGCGAGGATTCACTTCAGATCCCCTAGGGGACCTGGAGACCCGCTTAGTATTCGCTATTTCGTGCAAAAGTCTTGGCACGTGACTCCTCTGGAGCGCTTGCCTGGTAGCCGCAGCGACAGCTGCAACCACCTATAACATGTTTCTCGTCCTCATTGTCGTGGGTTTGTTGTTGTGGTTGTTGGAAAAAGAGAAGAAGGATGTGGTGAAAAGGCGTGTCCTAAAGAGTCACGACACGAGGCTCAACAGCCAAGACATTATCGGGACGGAATTACCTTGTTCCGATATGCCAATTCTCCATCGTCCAACTTGATTCTTGGTATCCTTGCACCAACTCACTCCCTCTACACCGTTTCGGAAACGACGGACAGGGTTTATCTGTTTGGACGGAAAAAAGACACATATTCTCTTTCTTTGTGCGCCTTTTCAAGTTTTGCCCAGGTCGGCCGAGGTCACAGAGCGGTCGTATAGGTTGTTCAAAACCTCACCTTCAAGATGGTCAACATAACGGAGAAGATCAAGGAGTGGGTTGTCTGTGTCTCGCCCAGAGCCGTCTGGAATCTGACTCTTGGTACAGGATCGAGGCCGAAATGGCCCGAACTCAGAGTGGGTTTCAGCAGCGTGTCATAGATGGCCTGGTCCGGTGCTGATTGGGTTGCAGAAAACAAAGCCACAGGTTGGTGCTCGAATGCTTTAGCATCCTGATCTATGCACGCCCTGACAGAGAGTGATCACCAGAGTATCACCTTGGTTTACTGAAAGGGTAGGTCCAGCATTCTGTTTCTGGAGACAACGCAAGCAGCGGGAGGAGGAACGGAGGGAACAAGATGAGACGAAGAGCGAGAACCTGTGCACGTGCCTTCTGTATATGCACGTGACTCTGTTTTCAGTCTCTTGCGATGCATATTTGAGCTGAGCTTTTGGACAAGGAACTGGGATATGCTTCCAGTTTCGTGAAATATGGCACTACAAGTGGTGCGAAAATGGACGTAGATTGTCGAGCACGAGCACACCCAAGGTTTGCTACTCAGGGGAGGATCTTCTGATGTTTCAGCCTTGCCCCTTTTTCGTGCAACCCCATCTTGTTGCTGTGTCACCTCAGCACCCTCATCTCCCAGTTGGCATCTTATGGTTGCAGCCAACAACAGTGGCTGACTTCTGTGGCTAGCAAACTCGCACGGCTACGTGCACAACTACTTGAACCAGCCGCGGGTGCCGGCTCCGGTGGTGGTACAGGTTTCGATGTTTCAAAATCAGGGGATGCCCGAATAGCCCTGGTCGGCTTCCCTTCAGTGGGTAAATCGACCTTCCTCTCGAAAATCACAAAGACCAAGTCCGAAGTGGCCGCATATTCCTTCACGACACTCACGGCCATTCCCGGCGTGCTCGAGTATGGAGGAGCAGAGATCCAAATCCTGGATCTCCCTGGTATCATCGAAGGTGCCTCGGAAGGAAAAGGGCGAGGACGACAGGTCATCAGCGCCGCAAAGGTCAGGCAATAAGACAAGCGCTCGTGCCTCCATCTTCAAAAGGCATTTTAGCTGACACTGAGACTGATTTAGACATCCGACCTGATCCTGATGGTGCTCGACGCGACCAAACGCGCAGAGCAACGGGCTCTTCTTGAGGCAGAACTCGAGGCCGTTGGCATCCGGCTCAACCGCGAGCCGCCCAACATCTACTTGAAAGCCAAGAAGGCCGGCGGCATGAAGATCACCTTCCAATCCCCACCCAAGTACCTGGACGAGAAGATGCTGTACAACATCCTACGGGACTACAAGATGCTCAACTGCGAAGTGCTCGTGCGCGACGAGAACGCCACCGTCGACGACTTCATCGACGTCATCATGAAAGACCACCGCAAGTACATCCGGTGTCTGTACGTGTACAACAAGATCGATAGCGTCACGGTCGAGTACCTGGACGAACTGGCCCGCGAGCCCCACACGGTGGTCATGTCATGCGAGCTGGACCTGGGCGTCCAGGACGTGGTGGAGAGGTGTTGGCAGGAGTTGCGCCTGATGCGCATTTACACCAAGCGGCAGGGCGTGGACCCGGACTTTAGCGAGGCCCTCATCGTCCGCAGCGGCAGCACGATCGAGGACGTGTGTGACCAGATCCACCGCACGCTCAAGGAGACGTTCAAGTACGCGCTGGTCTGGGGCGCCTCAGCCAAGCACATCCCGCAGAGAGTCGGGCTGGCCCATGTTGTCGCAGATGAGGATGTGGTGCAGGTCGTGAGTGCGTGGAAAGCATAGAGGTCGGTTGGATCATGGCTCGTCGGTGTGTATTGAGCGATCAACCTGTCGCATAAGTGGCACTTGTGTGCTATTTCGTGGCAATGTGGATGGATTGGCCAGGCCAGGCCAGGAGATCAGATCACGCACACTACTAAAAGGGAGTTTTCCTGTGATACTTTTGTTTGGCAGCCCCTGTATTTGTTTTCGTTCTCATTCATCTCAATGCCCTCCTGGGATCCAGACTGCTCACGTTGGCGCTAACCGCCTTGCCGTCAAACACAAACTCGCTCATCAACTTGCCCGTGCCAGGCCCGTTCTGTATACCCCAACAAGTGTGTCCTGCAGCCATGTAGATGCCCTTGACGCCCGTGGGGCCGACCAGGGGTCCCCCGCCCGTCTCTACCTGCGGCAGATAGCACGCCTGGCGGACCAGCACGGTGCCATCACGCAGCTCGTCCGAGACACTCGCGCAATAGTCGACAATGTCCTGGCAGCGGCTGTCGTCGACCTGGACATCGGCTGTAGACTTGGGCAGGGGCACGAGGTGGTCACCTTCGCCGCACGCATACACTTCGTTGTCCGGCCGCGCGTAGATCTCCGGCGTGACGTGGCGGGCACGCGACTTTGTGCCCCCCTTGAAGTTCTTGGGCAGCGAGATCGACGTGAAGAGGCAGTATGCGCTGACCGGCCTCGAAGGGCGGATGGTCACGCTGTGAGCGCGCAAGGCGCCGATGGGAGATCTGGGCCAGACATTCTTCGTCCACGGCCCGGCAGTGATGATGACATGGTCCGCGTAGAGGCATTTTCCCTCCTTGGTCGAACTGTCAGTGTATTTTACCGCGTGCTCGCCTCCTTCTCGAGACGCGATCTCGTCGACGCTGCCCAAGACGACGCGGGCACCCTTTTCCTCGGCAAGTTTGGCCATGGACGTGGTGAAGTGATAGGGATGGACCTGCGCCGTGTCGCTCGGAGAGCCCATCGAGTCGTAGGCATTGACGCACTCTTCCGCCACCCAGTCCAGATCGTCCGGAAGTCCCATGCTGCGGAGGTTGTCGTACGATTCTTTGCTTCGTTTCTGGAGACTGACGCGGGTAGGATCGACGTTGCCATCGCTGGCGACATCCGGCCGGTGAATTCCCCTGACATCTTCCTTTTCGCCCGCGCCGTTTTCCTGTACTTCGCCATCCACAGCGCCTTCGCGGGCCATCACCTTTTCCTGGTCACTGACATGCCGGCCTTTCAGATCGATCTGCCCCACGCCCACGCCCCTATATCCCCATCGGCGATCACCCCCGTGTTCCTTTGCGAGTTCGGAATGCAGTCTGAAACTGAGCGGCACCAGGCACGAGGGATAAGCCCACAGGGCCAGCAAGCCACCGGCTTTCCCTGACGCACCACTAGCAATGCCCGTAGCCTCAAGGAGATAGATCGAGTGTAACTCGGGATTGTATTTCGAATGGCGGGTGAGGAAGTACGCGGTTGTGCAGCCGATGATACCCCCGCCCACGACCACTATCGTCTTTTTTTGCTCGGGCACGGCCATGTTGTTTCTGCCAAAGTATGGTCCCAATGGCAGCAGCCGATGCTGCTTGTGAGGGAAGAGACGGATGGTGACTAATCGAGGGTTTCCTTGGTGACGGAAAACGACTGGGCTGCGGGGTTTGCAATCCGGATCTGTCGATGTCAGAGGAAAAGGCCTCGATTCGAAAGATTACAGTGCATAAATAATGTCTATGCCCCTCACTACAATTCAGAACGAGATGTAGAAGAATATTATAGACAGAATCCAACGTCTCTGATATGACCTCATACAACCACTGACTTGGTGGCGGTGCCCCACCAATCACGGCCTCTCAGCCTCGTCGTGAATTCTCTTTACACAAGCCTCAAGAGACACTTTGGAAGAGAGATTTATATCTACCTGTTAGATAAGAACTTGGTCGAAGACATTGTCATCAAGTATAGAATATAAATATCCACATCCATAATATCTCGAATATCTCGTGTATCGCCTTGTCACATGCATCAATCAAGCAGGTCGAGGCTTGACACCTCCTCGTAGGCATTAATATCCTCTCTTTCCACTCCCCGCGATAGCTCGTAGGATAGAACAGTCATATCCATATATGTCAACATGAGCCTGTATCTCCGACTACTTTCAAGGGCTTGCCATGCCTCTGGAGTTGATGGGACTTCCCACTCCCGTGTCTCTGTCCTGGTTCTTGCAGATCGTCTTTTCTGAGCATGATGTGACAGACGTTTCCTCTTCGGCCGGTGCTCTTCTGCATGCTCTTCAGATTCTGTGTCAACCTTTAGTAGCTGAGAGCCATCCTCTTCGCCACTACGCCCGTCGACGACAAGCACAGTATGGTCGAATGTGGTGGGAACTCCATCCACAAGCCCGTCTTTGCCCCATTCCGGTGACTCGGTCGATCCAGATCGATCTTCGAATCCGTTTCGCATGAAGCATCCTTGAACCGGGGAAGCTGCTATGCCGAGGAGTGGACCAAATGGACGCAGGCCTTTCATCTCTTGTTTTTTGGTTGGTAAAATCCAGCTTACCCGCATTCCCAGTGTGTCCGTCTTCTCGTTTTTTGTCAGTGAACAGACCGCACATCGACCGATCTGTGTAGCAATGACAACAACCCCCAATTCAGGGATTTGCAGCATCATATTGAGTCTGTCAATGTTGGCGTGACTCGAACCCTGTATTAAAGGAGGTAACGCCTGTTTGAGGATGTTGGCACAAAATACATGCGGCGAATCTGCTTCGGGAGCAATGATCAATCTCAAATTTGATACGCTGCAATGAAGAGTAGGTATAATCGGTGGCTTGGCTCTGTAACGGGTTTTGGAAACTTTCGAAGTGCCGCCCTGAGTCGATGGTTTGGGATCTTTGGGTTCCATGTGCGGCCGTCTGCGCAAGGGAGAATCAACATCGGATGCGGACAAGACGTCCACGTCAATCTCTTGGCTGTTCCGCTGGGCGAGACTTGACAATGATGTGGTACTTCGTCGACTCGTAGAAGAGAGGTCGATATCCTCAACATCATCCGAATCAGAAGAATAGTGTACTTCCTCTTTCTCGCTCTCTCCAGATTCGCTGTCGGCGTCTTCGAATCGCATGTATTCGAGCGATAGAGTGTCTCTCTGTGGTGTTGTAGGTCCGTCATCAATACTGTGAGATCTCGGATCGGACCCAGAAACAGAAGTGGCCTCGCTGTTGTCTGACACCGGGGCGACCTCTGGTTCTCCAATGACTCCTTCATCATCGTCCGGAGATCCGTCAACAGAGTCTTGACCATAGGTTGGAAGCAGACTCGCATTGAGCTCAGCTCGCTCAGCATCAACGCTGGCTTCGTCCATGTCAGACCAAGAGTCAAACGTCTCCCGGATATCTTCCACATCCTCGTCGTCCTCCATACCTTCATACATGAGAAAGTGTATATGACCATTGCTAGGCGTGCGGAGTCGGACAACATTAGTCAGGTCGTAGCTTTCCAGGTCATTATGCCCATGGTACTGAGGTACCTTGGAGTAACCGCAAAATTGTTCCATCGTCCGAGCTGGCCGAAATGCACGCGGGTCCAGGGCAGCAACAAGCCAGCCTCCTTCTCGCCTCCGGTAAGTGGATGCTCGCATGCTTCTCTCAGAGAAATCCCAGGATTTGTGGCAGAGACCTTGCCATATTTGCCATATCTTCATGTCACCATTGATATCAGTGCTCAACAGCCAGTTCCCTTCCACGTCATCATCTGTGTTCACAAAAGAAATGCAGGGGATGTTATGGTCATGCCCTTCGATGCCCGCAAGAGTGATTTTGTAATTCTTGTTGCGTGGTGGAGGGGTGGCATCAACGCCTATCGCAAGCCATTCTTGCCAATCCAGCTGTTTAGCATGCTGGGAAACCTCGTAATCATCGTCGGACATTTGGTCCTCATTATCTCTCCCGTCATTACTCGTGTCTGTCAAGGCAAAAGCAAATACGGTTATTTTAGCACAAGGATCAGCGTCTGCCACATGATGAGGTGTGTTGGCCGACACCGCAATCATTCGGGCATGCGTGTGTATTGCAAGGCCCCAAGCAGATTCATAGACCCACTGCGTGAAGAAGGGCCCGAGCCCGACGTACTCACTCCGAGCATCCGTGCTGAAGCGGTACGGGTCCTTGCGAATGGCTTCAGAGATGGAGTGGGTATAATAGGCAGAAATGTTGCCGGAATCGGTTGCAATGAGAAGAATCTCCTCCTTCCCCAGGTCTCCCACCACGAGGTGATTGATGGCATGAGGAAATTGAGAATCAATATAGCCATCCGCATCGGGATTTGCGAGCGCGGGCACAATGAGCAGTGCAGGCAGTCTGTGGAGTTTCTGGAAGGGAAAGTCTGGCCTGTAGACGGCAACGGTATCTCTGGTTGCCACAAAGTAGAGATTAAAGCGTTGAGATAACGCAGTCAAATTGTTTCGCCAGTAAGAGAGCGGTGGAAGGCATGGTACTCCATCGCGCAGGAACCTTTCAGCTCCTGTCTCGATGCTCGTGAGACCAATGTTGACCGACTCGAAAGGCCGGGTATCTTCGTCCATGCTCCTGTCAAAGGCGAACGGCTTTCATCAATAGATCCCTTTGTTCAATTGCAGTCTCTTGTAACCATTCAAGACATGACGGAACGCATGATCACTACCTAGTACGCGCGTGTACTCTTTTTATCTCGGGTCTAGAGGGGTTTGAGCTCGTCCGGAGGAGGTTCAGAACCGAGCAGCGAGTGACGGCGTAGGCGCATGAGCGCAGGTAGATTGGGAGGGAGACTTTGGCTCACTTCAGCTTGCCTGCAACTCACCGGTAGATGTCAGCACCTGTCGTATCTGCACCCGAAGGTTACGAAGAGGGGAATCAGACGAGGTAAATAGGTTGGCCAGCAACTTGTCAGTTGTATGTATTGCAATTAATGAACCTGAGTGAAGGGCAGATTGACAGCTTGGAGATTGAATACTTGCCGTGGTACGGAGCACATGAGTGGCACCGGCGGAGTGACTGAAAGATGACGCATTTGTAGCGCAGGGGGGGGGGAAATCGAATTAATATTGGCTCATCCACACTCATCCTACAAAGTCTACATACATGACTTGGTATCTCACATTTGTTGTTCGGTGCTTTGCCTTCCTCCTTGCTTGAACACGTCCACTTCCATCCACCCACTGCCATCGCATCCGAGCTGGTCTAGCTGAGTAATTCGCACGCCGACACCTGCATTTTCTGATCGAGGTTGGCAACACAGAACGTATCGATCCGGAAAGAATTGCATACGCGACCAGCCGACTCTGCGACGGCTCGACTCATCCCCTTGTCACGTTCTGCAATCCTGGACGCCACATACACCCCCGCCCCCCTGTATGCGACTTATCATCCCGTCGATCAGCGTGCGAGAGTAGTCCACCCTCCGCAGATGGCTGTCTATTGATCTGAGCCGTCACAATTGTCCCAGTACATGCCGCGAGCGGTGTCGACTGGTGGTTACACAGCATAACGCTACCGAACACTGGTGGACCTCCAACCCCGAATCTCATTTCTCACCCACAATTCAGCCAGACGTTTTCTCCATCTTTGACAGTGACATTGTCTCTGCCAGCCTTGGCCTGGTACAACTATGGATTTGCTAGCTACTGTCAGAAAGGAGGGGTCGCGAGGGGGTCGTGGAGAGTTCAAGTGGTCTGATGTTGAAAGCTCTTCCCACCGTGAGAATTATCTGGGCCACTCACTGATGGCCCCCGTTGGTCGTTGGCAGAAAGGCCGTGATCTCACCTGGTATGCTAAAGCAGACGGTGATGCCCAAGGTGACGAAGATGCTGCCGCCAAAGCTGCAAGAGAACGTAAAGAGGAGATCCAGAGAGTCAAACAGGCCGAGGAAGATGCACTCGCCCGCGCTCTTGGTTTGCCAGTGCCCCAACGAAACAATCCAAACATGGATGAGCTGGGGGCTCGACGTGAAGTTGACCACGCTTTGAAAGAGGTTGCACCTGGCGAGGACATGGCGTCTTCCAGGGGTGTTGGTTATGGGCGAATGGCAGGGGTCTCGGCTATGAATGAGGGGAAATCCAGCACTACGGAACGCCTCGAAGGCACCGTTACAAATCAGGAAAAGGAGCTCGACTATGCGCTCAAGGAATATAGGCGCCGTCATGGCGACCGAAGGCACCGAAGCCGGAGTCGCAGTGGCCATCGGCACCGAGACAGCCATCACAGAAGACACCGGGAAGACCGCCATCGACATAGGGAGCACCGATCCCGGTCCCCACGGCGGAATAGGTCTGACCGTGTGAGATCACAATCACCTTCGCAAGCCCGAGAACGTGATCATCATCGCCGAGCGCGATCGAGAAGCACCTCTCGATCCAGACGGCGCCGCGAAGCAGATTGGGGCGACAGGGACAAAGACCACGACCGAGGCGAACGACGCTGAATTTTGGGCACTTGAAAGCACACAGGAGAAACTTTCGACTAAGCTGGAATCAAATACAAGCAACTACCCAAGATCAAATCTGACTATCTCAGCCCCAATGAAGCATCGAAGATGTCACCCTCAAGATCCTTGATGTCCACGTCTACGACACTTGCTGCACGCCCCGGCCCACCAGCACCCTGCCGGGCGAAAATATCGGCTGATGCACTGGTGTCTACAAACTCCTCCAGTTCCTCGCTCACAGTTTTCAGCTTTTCCTTCACGCTAGCCACGCCCTCAATGCCGACAATGTGACGGGCGGGCGGGTTTTCATGACCACCAATGGCCGTCAATGCATGGACAGTCTCTGCAATCAGTTTTTCTGTATGCGCATGACTGAGAGGTGGATACAAGCTGACAACCTCGTCACGACTGAGGAGGTACGGGCCGCTCTGCCTCTCCGCTTCTGACGAAGGCGACTGAATTTCGGTCTCGGGCGGAGGAGGATACTGGGTACGAATACCAGGGAGACGATTCAGTAAGCCGTCCAGGATGCCTCGAAATATTGGAGCCGTGTGACCAAATTCTCGGGTATAGGCCTTCATTGGTGGCGCTGAAGTGATCTTGTTGGTCAAGATCCCGATCTCGACGCTTGCTTGGACAATGGTTAATTTAATGTTAAAAGGCGCAATCTCATAGGCGATGCTGTCACAAAAGCCCTCCAGCGCCCACCCTGACGCACAGTACATGCTCAAGCCTGGGGTTCCGAGATGACCTGTGATGCCGGTGAGGGTAATGATGTGACCATTCATCTGTGAGCGCATCTGAGGGATGACAGCCTTGATGATATTCATCGGGCCGAAGAAATTCTTCTCAAACTGGTCTCGAACTAGCGTCAGGGTCCTTGAGCTGGCGGAAAGCTCTTCCACTGTCCCAATCACTGCTTCACTGGTACAGCAAAAGAGTATGTCGATCTTTCGAAAAGTATGCACGGCTTCCGCAACAGCCGCCTGACACTGTCCAACAACCCTGTCTGCGAGTTAATTCCAGCGATCTTGTTGGGGACAGATACAAGTAGAACGCGAATCGTAAAATAGTATCTTGCGAAAACGCTGAATTGCATACCTAATATCCAGGGCCACAACCTTGAGCCGCTCTTTCATTCCCGGTGTCCGTCCCACTTGGGACAGAAACCTCTTGAACTCTTGACTCCGAGCCCCGTCATTCTCGAACTCGGCTTGGATGATACCGGACACCACATAGTCGCCATGGTCAAGCACCTGGCGCGCAACCGAAATGCCAATTGGAGAGTCTCCCGAGGTCAAGAGCCAAACTCGAGGAGCATTATGGGTAGGAAACTGGGGCACCGAGCCGCCATTTGCCATGGATGCGCGCGACGTGAGTTAAACTGATCATTGCGTCCTAGGACGCCATCTGCGGGTATCTCTTCGGGAATGATTGCAGCTAGCAATTGAGGGCACAGGTCTGGTCGATATCAGAGGAACAAAAGTCGTGGTCAAGAATGCCGGGTTTATTGGCCCGAATGATCAAGTCACAAATCAATGCCAAGGCCGCTCTCCCACCGGATCAACTAAATTCCGCACACCCCACGGCCGAACTGCGGCGGCCCACATGGAGCGAGCCAACCTCTCGATCGCGCAATAGAACTTGGTCTGCCACTCTGTCAAAGAAGAAGAGCGCTGTCCCCTGCTCTATATCTATTGTCAGTGGCTCTGACAATTCAAGATGCCGGAGCCTAGAGGTAGCGGCGCCCCTGCCGCACGAGAGGAACAGGGGGGAAAGGTGAGAGCATTCAATGGTCGGCATGCATTTGCAACGAGTCCTAACAGATGAGTAGTCGATGTTCCAAACGGTTATACAAGGTCTCGCCATATTTATGCTCACGCAGTTTGTTGTGAACAATTTCTTTGGATCCAAGTCGACGTCTGGCGGAAGCGCCGCCGCGCCCAAGCAAAATGTCAACTTCGATGAAAGAGCCGATGTGACCGCCCTCACAAACTATTCCCTCATCCCTCAAAACATTGCTCCGATATGGCCAGACAACAGTGTCGTCGATATCCGAATGTATGTGTCTGCGCAGGACACCCTTCCTGCCCTTTCTGCTGTGCCGAAGGAAAGCCTCGTCCTGGAAGAGAAGAACTTTGGGATCGGAAATTACGATGAAAACCGAGAGGTGCATACGCAGATTGCCATCCCGACAGAGGTACAGCACAACGGGACGTTATGGGCTCATTTCTATCTCGCCTTGGCTGGCAGCGAGTTTGATCCAACAAGCCCCAACTACGACCCCCATAAAGCCACTCACTTTAAAAGACCGCTGAACCAGTTCCTCCCGAAGAAAAAGGCCCGTAAGTTGAAGAACCTGCTCGAGAAAAGCGACGAGCCAAAAGAGGAAGAATCGGAAGAACCGCAGGGAGTTCAAATTGGCTCTTACTACCACCCCAACTTCACGGTCGCTGTGATCCCGAACACAGGCGTGCAGAACTGGCGCCAAATGCATCCAGCGATACGCAAGAATATTGTCCTCGAACCGACTGGTCAACGTGATGCATCGGGCCAAAATGGGTGGTATTATCCCGTCGTCTTTCTCAACACCTTCTGGCAACTACGCAGCCACATGACCGAACTCAATGAGACCGTCAAGGAAATGCCCCTCAACATCCAGCTGTACAACTTGGCCAATTGGAAATACAACCTGTTGGCGTCTATCGACGAGGGCATGAAACAAAACCAGGCACAAGCTGCAAACGGAGCGCCCATGCCGGGTGGTGGGGATGGCAGCGAGTTCGAGAAATTCAAGGAAATCCTCCTGGACACAAATGCCTATTTATTGGGGACAACGTTCGTCGTCAGTATCCTGCATATGGTCTTCGAAGGCCTGGCATTCAAGAATGATATTTCTCATTGGCGAAGCAAGAAGGATAACGTGGGCACATCTGTGAGGACAATCCTTGCGAACGTGTTCATGCAGGCCGTCATCTTCTTGTACTTGATGGACAACTCGGAGAATACCTCCTGGATGATTCTTGCTTCCCAAGGCTTCGGCATTCTCCTTGAAGCCTGGAAGATCACCAAGACCGTGGATGTGCGCCTGCGCGAACCCGGCCCGGACTCGAGGTTCAAGAACATATTACCTTACGTGATTGTGTTTGAGGACAAGCACAAACTGACGGAGAAAGAAAGGCAAACGCAAGAATATGATCAAATCGCCTTCCGATACTTGTACATTGTGGCCGTGCCACTGCTGCTCGCTTACGCGGTGTACAGTCTCATTTACGAGTCGCACAAGTCATGGTACAGCTTCGTGATCGAAACATTGGTGGGGTCAGTTTATGCCTACGGATTCCTCATGATGGTACCTTCTCTGTACATCAACTACAGGCTGAAGTCTGTGGCACACATGCCCAGCAAGGCTCTGACATACAAATTCTTGAATACGTTTATTGATGATCTGTTCGCATTCACCATCAGAATGCCGATTTTGCACCGTCTGGCTACGCTGAGAGACGACGTCATCTTCTTTGTGTGGCTATATCAGAAGTACAAGTACAAGGTGGACTATTCGAGAGTCAACGAGTTCGGACAAGGCGGCGAGGAGGAGGAGGAGGAGGAAGGAGAAGGAGAGAAGAAGGAGGACGGCAAGACGACAAAGTCGCTCCAAGGCCAGGACACCAAGGAGCTGAAGCCCTCGGCTCCAGTTTCGAGTGCGACCGGAGTCCAGGCCAACGCGGGCGCGAAGAAGAGAAAGTAGGCGAGCGCGTATTGATCACCTCCTTCTGGATAGCGAGGTATGGCACGGGACCTGAGTCGCATTTCAGAAGAGAGACGAAAAGGGAAAAAAAAAAAACAAAAGGACAAGGCCGAGAAAAGTTTCGAGAGAGATACACAGAGAGGGTGAGCGAGCGAGAGACATATCGGCAGACAATGACAATGACAACAATCCTTTCGGAGCAAAGCCCGACCTTGGAAGCCCCTTTCCCCATTCTCCATGTCGCCGTGATATGAGAGCCGAGTGTGCCCATCTTCCTCTCCCTTTCCCACCCTCCTAAGTACCTACTGTAAGTACCTATGTAGGTGTATACATGCATTGGAGACGAGTACAAGTACCAGTACGAGGTACATACGACTACGACTACAGCGATACGATAACAAGGACCAAAGAGAAGAAAAAATCACTTTGCAACTGTACAAGCGCAGGAAGGAGAGAGAGAAAAGAGAACAAACAAATCCTTGATATTTCGTTAAAAAAAACAAACTAAAACTCCGTATATAGATAACCAGATAGAACAGGAGCCTCACAGACTTGTTCTAGAGGAATATATTCCCCAGGCCCAAAAGCACCGCCAGGAACGCCACGCTGTACACACTCGGTCCCAAAGGGGTGGAGGCGGTGGTGCCGCTCAGATAATACGCCGCGCCCAAATAGCTGCAGCTGATGACGCCGGCGGACCCGTTGACTCGTTTGCCGTAACTATCCTCCAGGCCCTTTCCTCGCAGGGGACAAGCGAATCCCAAACTCGCAGGACAGCTCTGCACGAGGTCGTAACACAGGTCTTCGCACGGTAAGACTTCCTTGTACGGTCCCGGTTGGATGGACGTGTCGATGAGCGGATTGCGCGAAGAATTCGTGGCGACGGCATCGAGAGAGGCCTGCTTGACATTGAATTGTGAAGGGTCAGATGAGATGCTCGAGCCATTGATGAACGGCTGGCCTAGATTTCGCGGTTTGAGAAACGAAGCCGAGCTTGAAAAGTCGGCGCAGCGGGGAATCGTCACGGCGCAGAGCCATTGTTTGTATGCCCGAGCGCAATCGTCGCAGTTGCGGGCCAGAGAGTATTGGGCGCTGGAAGTGGTGTTACACGGGATTTGTTGCAAGGAGTAGTTGAAGTATTGGTACATTTGAGCCGCGTAGGAGTCGTACAACGCGGCTAGGTCTGGAAGGCCTGTCTCTGGCGAGAATTTGTTCGGGTTGCTGGGGACAGCGTAGGCCACTTCTGAGCAGAACGAGAGGTTGTACATCAGCCGGCAGTTGTTGTCGGTCTTGGTCTCGAATTCCATGGCTGCCCAGACGGTGCCACCTCCTCCCACCACGCCGGCGCCCGAGTCCGTGGAGTTGCCTTCCATGACCAGCATACCCCAGTATTTGGAGGTGGCGTTGAGACCCGTTATATAGAACTGCTCTTTCGGCTTGCCACCCAACCCTCTGTTGGTCATCTGGGCGACATTTTGGTTGGTGATGTTGTCGATATTCACTGTCAGTCGGGCGTTGTTTTTTAAGCCGCAGAACGATTTCTGAATCCCAAGAATTTCCCGCTGGTTCTGGTTCGTTGCAAAGACACCCCACGGAGGACTCAGTTTCATCCATTCTTCATAGATTGTCTGGTTGGGAAGAGCCTGTGTTGTGTCATTTGTAATCAACAGCGCAGCATGATTGTCCCCGTCGACGAAATACAGGTTCTTCACTTCCGGATCCTCGAATCCGTGGAAAGGCGCATCAATCGACGCAGCAATGTTGTAATTCCAGATGCCAGAGAATTCCGTGGTGTTGGGGGCAGAGATCCCCACGTACACATCACTGTCGGCGTCCGCCTCAAATATCGCATACCCACCATCAACTGTAATGGTCTGTTGGTCCGGATCACCGGTTCCCGGGCCTGGTTTCTGGTTTGACTCGGACAAGGAAATGTACATCTGCAATTGGGGAGGTATTGCGTTGGTCGCATTGGGCGAAGGCTGCAGACATGTGTTGAGAGTGATGTAGACTTTGTTTCCCGTCTGTCGTTTTCTAAGTTCGTGCCGTTCCAGCAGTAATTCTGCGTCCTCAACCTTTGCGCCTGGTAGACCGACCCCAGGTGTCCCATGTGGTCCATTTATTGCATCTCTTGGAAATACCCAGTTCTGGGTCTGGCCAATCTCGATATTGCTGCTCGCGGGGTCGTTGTTGGCAAGCGCTGACACTCCGACTTCAGCGCGCACTGTTATTCTAGATTCCTCCGTCTCTTGCCCTTCATCCCTGTCTTGTATAACATAAAAGTTGTGGTCTTCAGAAGATATCCGAGAGGAGTCAGCCTCCAGGGCGTATGCAAATGATGGTTTCGTTAAAGTTAAATAAAGCAACAACAGCACGACCGACGCTGAGAGGCATGCTGTAAATCTTGCTTGTAAAGGGGTCAACTTGATAAGCGGCATGTTGAAAGTCCCGCTTCGACTCGGTGCCGGAACGAGAGAAGAGGGTGTAAAGGAGTGCTAAAGGGACATTGTAACGGGTGTTACAGAACTGCACATAAGGCTTAGAGAGGAGAGACTTTACTATTCGATCGCAAATGGTGAAATGAGTGACATGCAAGACTGGCAGGATTGGACA